AAACAGGAAAACTTCATCATGTGAGAGGATTCCTTCAAATGAAACACTGGACCCATGAGAGAAACATGTACAAAATCATTCATGGGTTAACCTGTTTTGAGATGTCTCACAGCACACCAGAATTAGAAAGAACATTTTATAGGCAAGGTGACAACTATGAAGAATATGGGACTTTAAAACCTGAAATGAGAAACAAAGAATTAATTCCAAGAGATTGTAGATTTACTTGAATAAATAACATGGAGCTTGTGTGTGTGTGTGTGGTTTTTTTGCCTAGACTGTGAATCACAGGTATGACGTCATAATCTAAGGTTTTGTGTATGGACTGACTCAGCATAACGTAAACAAAACGTACACAGTAGTATCTCAGTGAAAAAAACGTAGGTCAAACATTTATTTTTTCCACACCACCACCTCTGAGGGTATAAATACAAAGATGTGTAAAGGATCATGATCAGTTGACCCTAAACATGAGTCAAAGTCAGTTTGGAAAAAAAAGTATGGATATAGAGGAGGAGAAACAACAGTTATTAGAAAAAATTGAGACTATGGATATAGAGGAGGAGAAACAACAGTTATTAGAAAAAAGATTGATCATGCCTATGGAAGAAGAACATTCCAGTCCTCAAAGAAGAATGGAAGTGAAAACTCTGGAGGAGGATGAAGAACCCTGTAATGTTTACTTGCCAGCAAACGAGAAGATCCATGACCCAAAGGACCCATACAGAAGTTACAGAGTAGCCACTAACTGGACATTTGTTTTAAATCAAGTGAAAGAAGAAATAGAAGATATAGACATTTTTCTGAACCTTGAAGATGAAATTCAATACTTGATCCTAAAAAAGGAAATTCATCCCTGGACAGGAAAAGTGCATCAAATCAGGGGTTTCATTCAAATGAAAGAACCTGTAGGAGGACTGGATGTGCATAAAGTTATTCTTACAGCAAGATTTGATATGTCCCACAGTACACCAGAATTAGAAAGAATGTTTTACAGGCAAGGTGGCAACTATCAAAAATATGGAATTCTGAAACCTGAGAAGAGAAACAAAGAATTACTACAGAAATGGGAAACAGCAAAATTGTGCCTGGAGAAATTGTCAATGTAAAAGAGAGAGAGATGATTGAGTATATGGAAAATTCAAATTAAAAATTTTTAACAGTTTTATTGTTGTTACTTTTATTTGTTCAGGTTATATATAGAAAAGTGTGACATTGAAAAAAAAAATTATTCCTAAACATGAGTTTACAGGAGATACCAGGAGATTTATTACACTTTCCTGTAGAAGCTATTGTACATCAATGTAATTGTTTGACTGTAAAAGCTCATGGATTGAGTCAAAGTATAGCTATGAAATACCCCAGAGCTAATCTCTATGCGACCCGCAGACCTTTAAGGTCTAGAAATTTAGCCCTAGAAGAAGATAGAGGAATTCCAGGCACCCTTCAAGTGTTTTCTTTACAAAAACCTGTAGTCATTTGTCTGTTAGCTCAATGGGATTATGGCACAGGACATTATAATCGCCTACCTTATTATCAAGATACACCAGAAAATAGAGAAAAATGGTTTCAAGCTTGTTTACAAGAATTGGGCACTTTACCTTACCAGACTTATGCCTTTCCTTATAAAATAGGATGTGGTTTAGCAGGAGGAAATTGGACACATTATAGACAATATATTGAACAATTTGTACACACTTATCAAAAACAAGTGTACATTCTTCATAAACATTGACTGTGTGTGTGTGTTATAAAGATTGTGTTATAAAATTTAAAAAAAAAAAAAAAATGTGTTTATGTTATTTCATTTTTTTAAAAAAAAGATTCATGTTTTACAAAAAAAAAATAGTGACCTGGTGTTGATAAGTTTCTATAACCTTGATGTTCTTAAAAAGGTATCTATTCAAATGATTAAAGTGGCCCTTAAAAGGGCCGTTGATACGTTTCTATATGAATGTTGTTAGGTATCTTTTCGTATAGGTATCTATTCAAATAAGTGGCCCTTAAAAGGGCCGTTGATATAACCTTGTTGTTTTTAAAAAGGTATCTATTCAAATAAGTGGCCCTTAAAAGGGCCGTTGATACGTTTCTATATGAATGTTGTTAGGTATCTTTTCGTATAGGTATCTATTCAAATAAGTGGCCCTTAAAAGGGCCGTTGATATAACCTTGTTTTTAAAAAGGTATCTATTCAAATAAATGGCCCTTAAAAGGGCCGTTGATACGTTTCTATAACCTTGAATGTTTTTAGTGGTATCTTTTCGAATCATTGGAGTGGCCCTTAAAAGGGCCGTTGGTTGATTTTTTTATCAAGGGTTTACTCCCTGAGAGGCCTGCCTCTACCTCTGCCTCTGCCGGCGAACTCTGTTCGGTCAGAGAGGGGGAGGTCGTTGGTTACCGGTCAACGGCTCCATAAAGTCTGGTCTTCCGGGTCGGGGTGGAGATGGCCGTCTTGGAGGAGGGGGTCTCAATCCTCGCCCGCGAGCTGCATATCTCGAAAGCCTGCGTCTACACAGAGGGCAACATTGGTTCATCTGTACCAGCACAGCTGAACACTCGAGACAAGCCGGTCGACGGCGACACTGACAGCAGATGTAATTGGACATGCGATCCTCCTCCAAGCAAACTGCACAAGAATCCAGCCTGGCTGCTGCGACTTGAATCCCCCATCTAGGAATAGGCCCCGTAGTACTCACACCTGGTGACATCTCCGGGGTCGGGGGTGGTGGTCTAGCCAGCTCCAGGGAAGGTGGTGGTGGTGGTCTAGCCAGTTCCGGGGAAGGTGCCCAGTCATCGTTGACGGGAGGGGTCCAATCCGAATCTACGGAGGAATCCCACTGTCCAGCAGATGCTCCCGGGGGATGACTGGGTGACCAGGTAGGAGTTGGTGGTCTTCTTGGAGGGGACGGGCTTCTCGGGTTGTCCTCGAGTAGTTCCGGACTACTCAGAAGGGCCGAATAGGAAGCAGCAGGTGTTGAATCTGTCCTCCTTCTTCTCCTTGGCTGGTCATCTTCACTGGTAGACGGCGATCTTCGTCTTCTTCTTCTGTGTCTTTGTCGTCGCCGTCTTCTTCTTCTCATCCCGTTCAACAGGTCACTGGCTAGGCCCAGAGTAGCTATCGGCCAGCGAGCTAACTCCGTCCCGGTGTTGATGTCCCGCACAATCCAGACATTTACGACCTCAACGCCATCAACCAAAAAGTAGTTAGGAACGTCTTCCTCAGCCATACTGATACGGTGACTGGAAACCAGCTACTAACAGAATGACACCGAGCTCTGGCAAGCTGCCGTATTTATGCGCACAGCACGAGCGTAAAAGAGAGCACCCCTAAACCGAGAGCCAACAAAATCATGGCGACGTCAAATTGTGTTATTTTGTGCTTCACAAACTATACATTGGAGTGAATAATTTATTCTGGGATTAGAAATACTTTCAAACATCTTACCCATCAGATGAAGGTAAGTTTCAGGCATGATTTCATAGTATTTTTGATGCATGACATTTATCTGTCGTCTAGAAAAGAAGCATTGATGTTGAACCGAAGGGCTAAAATCGGGTCACCTGAATACATCAAATAAGTATTTTAACCTTTTTTAAAGTGTGATACAAGGAAAACTTAATCTATACAATGAGATTAAACCTAGGGAAAAGTGTTGATGCTGTTTTTAAATCAAAGGAATGGTTTCAAGTGTAAAAATATAGCCAGAGTCGGTTTGGGTATAGACACAAGAAGGCGAAGGTCGGCCATTTTTTGTAGAAAATCACTGTAATGACTTGTATAGAGAATATAAGATTTTTTTAAATCGTGACCTTTTCTGACTGGAATTTTTAAATAAATCAAATCAGTTTAGTTAAAAAACAATTTGAATCCACTTTATTTCCAGTGGGAAGGTCTAGATGTTTTATAAATAATAATATTGATAAAACACACAGCGTCTTATTACAAGGCACAGCATTCTATACACATAAGCATGATTTTTTTTTTTAGGAATAAAAGATTTTGAGATAAAACAGATTAGTTTTAAAATCAATCTGTATCTACTTTAATGGAAATTGGAATAGTTTTTTTTTTCTGACTAAACAAAAAAAAATCTCAGCGTCTAAAAAATCTCAGCGTCTAAACCAGGGCACAAGATGGCGTCATATTTGTATAGAAATCATAACAAAAGACTTATTGTGGTTTACATCCTTTTATTTTTTATTTAATAATTGTTCAAATTGTCGAATTCTCCTCTGAAATCGTAATCGATCGGCTACTATAGCCATCCATGGACTTTTTCGATCTTCGGGTGGTAAATGATAAATTTCATTCAGGCTGGTATCAAAAGTTACACATTTCTTAACATGTCTGAAATTTCTACATATTTCATCCCGTATTGGATGCATATTTTCTCTACCGCTTCTATTTCCTTCCAGAGTAGACATACTTTGCTCCCTTCGGGATGACATAGGAAACTGTAAGGTTTTCCTAAATAGTCGCTCATTTTCATCCCGTAAATTTTTTCTGGTAGAGTCTTTTTGATCCGTTGACAAAGGAAATGTATAATGGCTAGTCTCCCCAGTGTCGGATGATGTAATAAAGCCAGGCATTGTAACCACAAGTCCTGAGTATTTTCTATGATGGTCGTCGCTCTCTGGAATACTGGTTCCGCCTCCGGGGGTAAAGCTGCTGGATTTTTCTCGATACATCGCATTAAAAAATCATACCCTTCCAACACTAAAGAGTGAGTGTGTTTATGTGTTGACATGATAATCAATTGTGAAGAAATGACTAGAAATGTTTTCTTATTTATACCCGTTATCTATACAAGACGTACACAGAACGTACAATGTACTGACTCAGCAAAACGTAGGTAAAACGAGAGAGGGTGCTAAGCGCGAGGGTCCAAAACGTAAGTTAAACCTATTTTTGCACACGAAATCCAAAAGGGTATATAAACCAGAACTGAAAATTTAGGATCATTCTTACTGGGCACTTGGTACTAGACAGACGTAGAAATATGGCACAAGCAATGATGAATTCCGTGGAAAATCGTAATTATATTCCAGCTAGCAATGAAGGGTTAGGATATGCTCTACCGACAATGCCTGACACGCAGGATCCCATCGGATTTGATCTGGGACTTTACAATATGCCTGAACCCATGACAAAGGAAGATATGGGCATCTTAACCACCACTCTGGATGGCATTGTCAACATGCTGACTCAACTGAAAGAGTACAACACCAGTGAATTTTGTTTGATTCGTGGGAAATTGTCCCGATTAGAAGTTAAAGTCGCTAGAATGGAAGAAAAAAATGAGAGGAATCCAGAAAAATGAAAACACAGGAGCTGCCAAGAAAAATGAAGATACAGGAGCTGCCAAGAAAAGTAAACAGACAGACCCATGTTTCATATGTAAAGAATTAGGACATTGGGCTCCAGACTGTCCCAGAAAAAAACAGAACTTATGCTACAAGTGTGGAAATTTTGGACATTGGGCCCATCAGTGTACAGATGACAGTATGGAATTACTAAAAGAAGTCGAAAAACTGGAGAAATAGGCACAAGAAAACAAGACCACCCAACATAAGACCAGTCAACAGGATCAAAAGCAGGCTAACAACAAGAGGAAACTTCCTACTACCCAGACGGAGAAGACCCTGAAACTCCAGAAGAAAAAGTAAATATGTACATTTTTTACTTTGAATAAATCATCTTACACACTTTTTACTGTGTTATTGTTTTTTCCGTTTTCAGAAAATAGAGAGAGCTCTGTGTGAATGACACATATGACGTCACAATGGTATACTTGAATCGATGCCAAGATTGTGTGTGTATTGTCTATGCCTGACTCAGCACAAAACGTAGATCAAACGTATACCCCCCTTTTTTACTTGGGTTTTTCCAGGGTGTATACTAGATTGAACCGGCCAGGGGACCAAAAAAAAGTGCACTCAGTTGACCCAGCCATCCAGGATCTGGGGGGGACAAAAGTGCACTCAGTTGACCCAGCCATCCAGACCCGTTATACTACTACTATGAAATATGAAGATAACGAGCAATTAAATTAACTTTAAAACGCACATTAATTGCAGATAGAAGTGTTCATAAATCTAAATGTGACATGTAAAGATTAGGCTCTTGGTTTTCTGCAGAAGGCAAGATAATATCAGAGGACTATTTGCAGCGCAGCAATGGTGAGTTTAAAGTAGAAAATGTACACATCTTCTCTAATCATAATCTAATAATTTGTTTAAAAGAACTAATCTACCCCCACTAACCAAGCTCCTAACCGTACGGCATACCGAATCAAATTGGGTATCAAAATACATCTTACTGCCCACAAACCTGGTCGACCATAACAGAACACTAATTACTGAATGTATACAACCGGTGCTATCCTAGTACGTTTATAATTTCCTGGTATTATTAACTCAAGGCACGATTAATATGAAGTCTTTTTCCCAGATTGACCAATAACAATATTCAGAGTCATAAACAAGTAAAACCGTGTCTCTTAAATTATAGTCTCTAAATTAAATGTTAGATAAAGATATTACCTGCATGAATTAAGCAGGAGGGAGCAAATTCGGTTTGATTTTTAAAATTTTTAAATAGCCTATTGGCAATGCATTACGTAGTCGTTGTAAGGACATTCTAAGGACCGACCTGTAGCCAAATAACCAGTAAGAATGGTAAAAATAAGCGTCTCTCAGCATCTGTATTGTTTTCGAGGACATATTAATGCTCAATGTAGCTGAGGGTAATGTCGAAAATTTTCACCCCTAGAAAATCAATGCGCCGAGGTTGACATTCGCTTGCTTGGAGTAAAATATCCAATGTTAACCTCAACTTAATGCAGTATTTGTTATATTATACTGTTTCATACAAATAAAAGTGAAGGCGGAGTAGTGTACTGTGCTGACTGGTAAAACACGCCCTCAGCTCTATACATTGATTAAGTAGACCGAACATACCGTAGTCAACTTTAGTATAAAAACAAAGACCTAACAATGGGTAGTGGCTTTAAATGACTATTAGAAATTACTACACTGTAAAAATTGTGTTTAGGAAATAAACACTTCTATTACATGTTTAGATCTAAACGTGTATAGTATTGTGTTTAGCAACTAAACACTTGTGTCTTAACATGTTTTATTTCTAAACGCGTTTAGAAATTCATAACGTTTTACTGTAAAGTGCAGAGTTACCTTCCCGGAAATGACACACATATATTTGAACGTTAATTTGAGCGGCTATCTAAACAAAGAAAACACAACAAACTAAGGTGATGTATCAACGAGAGTTATGACAACCCAGTTCAAGGGATAACCATGACGAAATAGTGAAATACGTGAAAGGGCATCTTGTTACTGCAATACATCAAAGGTTTGTTTTCTTTTTCTTTGCATTAATTAATCACGATGAGCAACGTAAAAAAAGCTGACTTGGGATATCTTGAATTCGTTGATAGACTTGCAGGAGAGGAAATAATGTTAAATGTCATTAAAAACATATATATTTATATCAGTATATTTCACTAAAACTTAAACAATTTTGTTTTTCTAAGTAATGTAAAGTATCAGTGATAGTGTACTTTATCTAAAATCTGGCTTTCTTTCCTACAGGCACTGTAGTCCAGATCGAACTCAAAATACACGTATCAGAGAGTACCTGGTGTTATCCTCAAGTGCAATTTTGTTGTTCCATAATCAACACTTTGAAACTTCATTTGTTGAAGACTACTGAGTTAATTCGACAGTGTTTACAATTATCCTCGTGCATTCGAAATGGATTACTTTCTGGCTGTTATTGATGGGATATAGATTATAATATGTGGTGCTTTGGGACTTGCTGAAAGTTAAAATAAAATTTGATATTTTGTGATTGACATGAGGAAGACTTTGCAGCCGATTCAAATTATAATGATTATAATAAATATATATATAAATATACATTTTGTATTTTTAATATAAAAATTCTTTAATAAAGCCTTTTAGAAATATTCAATGAAGTTTTGATATTAAATTGTCAGCTTAATATTTTTTTCTTAATAATTTTAATGATTAAAAGTTTGTTACCTATGTGTACGTTATAAATTATGTGTCATTCTGATTGAATTGTTGAGATTTATCAAATATCTATTAGTGAAAGTGTCACAAAATCATTTTCTGTCTAATGTAAATGTCCAAACTGTATATTACTAAAGTATGTTACAATTTAACATTATATACTACATTTGTTTATATTACCATGCCACACAACCTTCTTTTGATGTTTGTTATATTTACTCAATGCTATAAGATGTATGTCTTGGGCAATAAAGATTATATATTCAGTTCAATCTCCTACATTTTTTGTGTAAATTAAGTACATATACATTGCACAGTGTCCATAGTATTGTATAATTAAGTACATATCCCAACGTTCAGTGGCTTTATGGAAAATAATTAATATTGGTTACATATTTTTGAAAAATTTGACAATTATGCGCATTGAAAAATATATATACTTTTTGTGCCTAAATTTACGAGAGTGTTTTGTTTTTCTGCAGGTACATATTATACTTATGATGTGTTTAGATTTTAAACACTTCTGCTGTTGTGTGTTTAGAATTTAAACACTTGTGTTTATGTGTTTAGATATGTTTAATTTCTAAGCACACAAGTGTTTAAATTCTAAACACTTTCTAAGACATGTTTAGGAATTTTACATGTTTAGGAATTAAACATATAAAAAAGGAGGTGACAACAAAGTGTTTAGAAAGTGTTTGAATTGTAAACAAATTTCTTACAGTGTAAAAAAGTCAGTTTTATTTTTATTGTCATGACAAACAACAATCATACTTATCTAAACCCGTTTTAATTTTCTGTTATACTTTAACAATTTATTACGAATACGTTGAGAAAAATAGGAAAAAAGATGGTGTTATATTAGGACGCAACCCAACTTCCTTATTTCAATTACATTTCCCCTATCAGAAAGGATGTTTCTATCAAATACTGCTCCACATGTGTAGTGACGGTAGTGAAGAGGAAGTTTCTAATATAATTCGACCATAACAAACAATCTTGCATTAATTTTTTATTAGTTTCTGCTAAAAGCAGACAAAAAACAAAACGGCAATGTTGTTTATATTATTTATTTTCAAATCCATTGCCGACATTGATAACCATGATAACTGCAAAACAAAATTCATACTTTGTTATCCTACTTTTTTGCAACTTTTCCTTTCTAATGCATAATTAGTCATCAAATGGCATTTACTAGTAACCACTTAACATTTTTCATGCATTTAAATGATTTTTAAAACAAATGCCCAGGACATTTAAATTGTTCTTTTTTAATTTCAAATTATAAGGACATTCATATCTATTAAATTTTTTTCAGTATGCTGCCATTGCTTCTATATACTGTGTATCTAGGTACGTATAAAGTTGAAGTCAGGTTAAAGTTAGTTATTTTCACATCTAGCAAAAACACGGAGACTAAATTCTACAGGATTTATTTCATGCAGTACAAATCGGAAGCAGAGCAAACACGGACAATCTGTTACAATTCCCAAGGGTACCAATTGCGCCCTGTTATTAGCAGACTCACTTTTGTATGAAGCAGAATTTATTCAAAAATGTATACCTGGGAAGAAAACTTCAGCTCGACATTCAGATATATCGACGGCGTATTATCAATGAACAAGTTACTTCCATTCATATGTCAACCCGTTATACCCAGTGAACTTGAAATTAAAGATACCTCAGAGTTTGACACATCTGTTTCATATTTGAATATTTTACTTGAGAAAGTGACGTTAGAAAATTAATGTGACGTTATTTTTTTTGATCTACATTTTCTGTGAAAGAAAAAATATAAAACCTAGTATGTTGTCAAATATACAAAGCAGTTCATTGAAAATAATTAAATTCTCTGCTATTTTGCATGCTTATTGCGGGAGGGAAATATGTGCATAATTTGCCTCATTTAATGAAAAGCTCGGTAGAAATTACAAAATTCATTTGACATCATATTTAAATTTATCTGCTTTTTATTTCATTGAGATACATTCAAAAAAATTCCATGTCATATCAGCAGGCCCTAGTACCATCCCTCTGTTTTCAGTATAGTGTAAATATGTTGCTAATTTAGCATTGAATTTAATTTTTTTTTTCATACAAAGCCCCTATCCCCACCTCACTTTTAACCCCCGCCCTCGCATAGACACTTACATACTGAGTACTTCTTTTTTTTACAGTAGATCTAACTATTTCAAATAATTCATTTAAAAAAAGGAGAGGAAACAAAACCGATCGAACCCCCCCCCCCCCAACATTCTCAATGAAAAGGATTTTTCGATGTAGGGGAGTTTTGGAGGTTTTGTATTCATTTAAATAAATATTTAATTTTTTTCCTTACCCCCCTTTTTTATATGTGTTGCAAAGTGCCTCACAGTTCTGGATAATGATCATAGATTCGTACTCCTTGGGATACAGTTTACCTGTTTTATGCGTTTCCATACTTTTTTGTCATGCTCATAAATTTTAGCAAAGAGTGTTTCGGAGACCATTTTATACATACTTTCATCAAGGTTCAGATTTGAATCTTTAAACCAAACCTGTAAGTCATGAAGGATAAGACTTTGAACATATTTTTCAGCTCATTTCATATTAGAAGCTTATAGAAAAAAAAACTCAGAAATTTATATTGTTGTAAATTTAGAATAGGTTACTTTAAGATTTTCAAAAATATTTTATTAATTTTGTCCTGTATTTCAATTTCAAGAATGAAAGAGTTCAAAATATTAATCGACCAGCTCATTTCAAATTCCTTAAATGTGTTTTATACCAGTTTTCCCCCTCACTTTTTTGGTCAGTATAGGTTTTTTTCGTGCTTGTCAGATTTTTTGGGAAGTCCCCCCACTTTTGAAACCGGGTCTATTAATAGGAGGTGTAACAGTATCCCGAGATAAGGTAATGCTTTTCGCTTGAAGTCGATTATCGATTATCTGAAATACCTTCCTTTTCATACGAATGAAATACAATTAAAAGAATCTACGTCATTTCCTGCTTTACAGAATTTAATTCGTTTCTTTTTGTGTATTCTTATTATGTATTTGTACGAGTAGATTGCAGAATATATTTACACCTGTCAATAATAAAAATGAAATTTTTGAAAAGGTATGTTTTAAAAACTTTTTTATAGAAAAAATTGGAAAGTTATACGTATCAATACACATCATGATAAACATATCAAAAATAATGATATATGTATGATAGGTTTTTTTTATCTGTGGATAAATTATAATGAGGTCCATTCGGCAAACCTCGGATGATTCCGTCTTTCATCAAACTATTAAATTATCAAATTAGATGAGATACATGCACGAATCGGCCAAGGTGTGCCGACTGTGATGAGATCTTTGGGTCCGTTCCTGGGTTTCTTGAAAGGCTGTACAGGAGATTGTATAGAGGGAGTATCCTTACCTAAACTAGACTTTGTTTATATAAATGGTTACCATTTTGGTCGGTTTAGATGCATTTGGAAGCATTATTTTTTTTTAAATTTCAAAGAAAAATATGAAACATTACTGAAATAGATAAATAATGAAAAGATGAACAAAGGAAGGGCCAGTTACTTATATCCAACTATTATCATTATTGAGTTCAAATGAAAAACTAAAGATTTGTAATTAAAAGAAATAGATTAATATACCCCGATCTCGCCTTATTTTGTTTCCATGACTACGTCTGCCATTTTGAATGTTGTTTGCATACCCATTTTTGTTCACGGTCTCATAATAAAATAAAATTTTGTTTTATTTCAAATGCTACCGGGTTGATGACAAAAAGAAATAATTATAAATAGGCTTGTGAAAATCTGAAATTTAACTCAAATCACAACCTCGACTAACCCCCCACATCATTCCACCCCAATCCTTAATCAATATTCGACTACCCAATGTAAAAAGCCTTCCAATGCCCCATGTATATGTAGTACGATTTGCCAGCAGCAGATAGACTTGACGCACTTTATTGTCAAGAAATTCATATTTGAAATCGTTATCCTTATATAAATTTTTGTGTATGTGCTTTTTTTCTCTTTTCTAAAATTCAAACTGCGAGTGATGAGTACTTTTGGACAGATTCTGACAAGGATATATACTGATACAGTGTATACACTGTACATGTTTTGCTTCTATATATAAATACACCTGACATTACTTTTGTTCATAAAATTAATCATTATTGGTACATTTTTATTTCATCAATATCAGCAAAAAGGTTAAGTTTTTGGATAAAATCATTAAATGTTTGAGATGATATTTTATGCAAGTGCACGTAATAACGTCAAAAACGCCTTATTTTTACGTCTGTGACATAGCATGTTGACATTTATTTTTTGTTAGGATTTTGACACCATTCTATTGATATTAATTTGGAATTTACTAATAACCTTTTGAAGATGCACATTTGAAAAAAAATCGATTTATTTTCAATATGTCTATATTTAATGACCACATATATGATTTATCCAACCACAGTTGTGCCATGGTAATTAGATTTATTAGTTTTGGACAATGTGTGACATTCAATGTTGACATCGCGGATAGCATCTAAAACATACACTTCTATCAAGAATCAATTCAAGAATCAATTCTAAAAATGAAAGCAATTTCTTGAGTGTCGTATTTAAATGTGACGTTTTTGCCGTCAAATTTCGTTGTGACACATAGCTACATGTTGTACATATATGTGACACGGCAATTACTCTTAACATTTATGACATCCTAAAGTAAAATTCTTTATAGATATGTTTTTCTTAATAACACGACAGCGTTTTTTGTAGAATTTAAAAAATATTATTACATTGATTTTACACTCAGTATTACAAAATTAGCCATTCTACGGAGCTTAAAAACTTTGTGACACTGAACGTCCAAACTTCGTGACACACTATCTTATTCAATATTCTCCCAATGAATCTTCTAAATATCAGGTACCCAACATACATATGAACACACAATATCATTCTATTATTAAAAATAGTTCTTTACACACCAAAAGGATTATCGAGATGTAATTTCAAAATTTATTTAGCTTATTTAATATTTTTCTAAGAACCCAAAGGCATTTCATGTTCATTCCATATTTCTTCGGTTAACGCTGATCTACATAGATCTCTGTCTTACATTTTGAGGTACGCGTTCACAGCATACGGATTAAATGACGTCACAATTGTAAGAATTTACATCATTTACATCATATTTTGAATTGTTCTGCTAAATTTTATGTTTGTATTGTTTGTTTTATGGAAGTTATCAACATTTTGTTATTGCATGTGCGACTCTCCCGTTACCTGTCTATATGCGTTTTGGGCGTAATAGAAGGAATAGTCGAATTCATATATTTGATAAATGGAAATTTTTGACCAATTTATATATTAAAATGTATCGAGTATACAATTACCGACCGAATGATATATAGTTTTCATACAGTTAACTGTTTCAAAATTATAAAAAAAGCGCAAATGCTGTCGCAATGGACATTTTGACTTTTTGACACCAACATCGTGCGCGACATCAAAACAATTTATTTTACGATAAGCAATAATTTATGTTAGCCTCCTACATATAAAATTTACTCTACTAATTTAAATAGTGACGGTTTTGAGGGGGACATTTATAGCTGATGAAAATTAGTCACCACCTAAGTTTCCTCCTCGTCTGTTCCTCCGTCTGTCTGTTCTATGTCAGTCTGCTCAACTTAATTTTCCTCACATTTCTAAACCCTTACGTATATTGAGGTGATTACAACAGATACATGTAGCTGTACTCACTGGTACCAGGAAGGAGAATTTTTATTTCTTGGTAAGTTTTGAACTCAGAAAGTACAGATAAAATCTGCTGTCTTATATGCCACGAACTTGCTTTCTTAAAGGACTTTACGAGAGCTTTTGTGGTATCATCACACTCAGCTGGCAAGATGTTAAATGGATCCAAATTGCCTACTTCTTCAAGGAATCCCTTAATCTTAATGTTGTTCTCACTGCCAACAGAATTTATGAAACTCTTTCCAACATATTCTACAAACATGCATAATATTTCACTAAATTAGATGTTGTTTTAAAATGCAAGTTTCATTAATTATATATACTTGACAACAATACTTTCTTTGAGGCATACATAAGAACATTTAAAGGGCTGGGGCACAGATTTGAAGCTCATATTTTCTAAAATTTTCTAAATAATATCATGAATTAGATGTTGCTAGAGCATTTCTAATCGAAATATATTAAAGTCAAGTTTAGAAACTTCCTTTATTTGGAAATTATTGAAACTAGGAATTTCGGGATACGTTTGATTGGTTGAATTTGGTCAACAGTACTGCGATCTTAATTAGCTTAATCTTACATGATATAAAAATACATATCCAGAATAGTTATATAAGTGAATTGTTATCACCGTTATAATGTTGAAAAATGATACCTGCGTCCCTTTGACATATATTTTTGGTCTTTGCTGGAAAGGTTTGCCAGAGTAAATGAGGAAAACTAAACGGCTCTAAATTAATGTCTGTGAGAAATCGGTTCAATCTGTCAAAGTTATCAATCTCTACATAGGAGCCTTGAGAACTCATTTCGATATCCTCCACTGAAGTAGCCTAAACAGAACAATTTAAGATACAATGTTGTGTATAGTATTTTCGATAAATCTAACTCATTTATTAAAAGAGACCCATGGGTACCATTGCTCATCTGAGAACTTTGGCTAGAGAAAAGAAGATATCAGTTCATGAAAATTTTAAATATGAAAATAGTTTCCCCTTCCCACCAGCCACCAACCCCAGAAGTGCAGGGGAGGGAGTCATGAATTGAACAAAATTGAATCAACACTATGTATTCCTCGTAAAACTTTGATTTTCCATTGTGGCCCCGCCCTTGACTGGGGGTCTGATTTTCCATTGTGGTCCCGCCCTTGCCCGAGGGTCATGATTTGAACAAATTTCAATCTACGCTATGTTTGTTTGTTTGTATGTTGTTTAACGTCCCTCTCGAGAATTTTTCACTCATATGGGAGACGCCACCACTTGCCGGTGGAGAGCTGCAAATTTTGTCCTATACTCGGCACTTACGGCCATTGAGCAGTGAGGGATCTTTTTCGTGCCAGCACCTACTGCGACACGGGACCTCGGTTTATACGGTCTCATCCGAAGGACCGGTCTCCACGTCCCACAGTGGGATTCGAACCCGCGACGTAAGGATCAACTCCTTACTCCGCGACTCTAGAGAAGACGCTCTAACCACTGCGCCACGCGGGCGACTCTACGCTATGTAGTAAGGCTTTCAAATAAGTTTCGTCTTTCCTGAACCAGTTGATATCGAGAGGGTAGTTTTAAAAAATGCCATTATATTTTCACTAATTCTTAATTAGCTCCCATGAAAAAGGATGTGGCCCTTCATTTTGACAAACTTGAATCCCCTTCACCCAAGGATGTTTTTGGCTCAGGTGAGCTAAAAAATCAACCAAATCCAAGCTGCACTTCCTTCTTTAAAACTAATTGTTGTAATCTCTAACTTAATGGAAGATAATTTAATCTACATGAAAATGAATTATCTTAAAACAATTAATACACTAAATAATAGTTATTTTTAACGAACCTGAGAAATGCTAACTGTTGTCTGACTTGTTGGGTTGACATCTGTTGTCGTTGAGTGATCCTGTTGACCTACATCAAGCATCTTCATAAAGAAATGTAAAAATATAGATTGCAACGCAGACAAAAATGGTACACTTTTGATACATTGTGCAGGTTTGATTTCATCCAGAATCAAAGAATTATTTATGTTTTATTTTATTAAGTCTTCCGTTCACAACGGAAGACTTATAGTGATTGTATTGTTTCTTTTTATTATTATTATTATTATTATTATTCCTCCCAAATTTTGTGAGCGCGATTACTCAGAGATGGTTGGATAGATTTTCATAATTTTTCACTTGATAGTAGGCTGATATATGAAGTTTATATAAAATTCCGTTTTTTGAAAAATTCACTTCCGGTCCGAAGTTACGGCCGAATTTCCAATTTTTAAATGGACTTTTGTCCGGAATTTTTCTCGGAAACGGTTTGAGGTAAAGATGTGAAATTTGCAGGGGTATTAGATCATGACATTCTCTTTGTTTCGAAGTTGTTTTCGTGTGTTTCCGGTACTTCCTGTCCGAACCGGAAGTGGACTTGTGTTTGGTCTATTTTCAACTTTTTTGTTTTTTAATATTTTTTCAAGATATTATTATGTATAACAGAGGATATTCTACAAATACTAAATATATAATTTGTTTTGAAATCAGATTCCACATTTTGCAGATTTTCGGTACCCTCATTTTCCCTATTTACCTAGTGTGTAGACAATGGGCAAAGAAAGATAACTGTGACTTGTAAGTGAGAATAGAACTTTCGAGATAAAGACGGAAATAGTATCGATGACGTCAGAGACATATACACTCTCCATATCAAAATATTTAGACGTTCTATATTCACTCTTCAAAATTTAAGAGTACGTTGGTTACCGCTTCCAGTGCATGTAAAGTTGCCAGTGTAATGTAAGTCTGTATTGAAAGTTAATTGATTTACACATGAATATATCTAAAAAAAAATAAATATATATGCTAGGTAGCTAATTCAAGTAAATATATTATAAGCACTGAATATACATTTATAGTGATGGACAGGCATGCAGTTTTATCTATCTCGTATATTAAGTTCAGAATACGATAGTTATAAGTCTTCTATAATGCAGACGATTTATTATTCTCTATGATTTGAATGCGAAATTATCCCGATTTCCGAGTTTTACTTTCGATATTAAAAAATATTACATACACTCAAAAAAGGAATTAAGCGATAGAAAATTGTAATACAGTACTGTTTTAAAGCCTTTATAAATAAATTGATATCTGCCACTTAAAAGAAAGAAAATCAATCTATAGATTAGATTTGGTTATTACATGTATATTTGATAAAAAGTTAAATTATTTATGACACATGATCTATACTCTATATACCCAAGGAATTATAAAAGATGTGAAAAGACGATTCTTGGATTCTTGTGAAATACTCAAAGAGTTAAAAAAAAAATATGTGAAAACGCGATTCTGTGTGAAATAATGGTACGCTATATGTTTCTTTTGAAAAAAAAAAAACATGATTAAAAAAAATTGCGCAGGACTCTTGATATGTGGGATAAGTATACCTGAATGAACACAGTTTTATGCAATGATATATAATTATGTACATGCAACTGACGTCCGTACTTTTCCTTATAATTCATAAAACATAAAACTATCTAATTCCTTTGAAGCCTCCTCCCCTTCCCCCCCCCCCCCCCCGTCTTGATTAATATTTGGAGACGTTCGTGCAGCTAGGCATTTGAATTATATATTCGTTTTAGATTTAAATCTGGAACATGTGAATATAATTACCATTTACATGTATACAGAATTTCATATTCTATAATGGTAGATTTGTCATTATGAAATGTTCAATTTACGTCTGAGAGAGAGAAAGAGAGAGAGAGGGGGGAGAGAGAGAGATTCCCTCTTAATCCCGATCCTCCTATCCATTTACATAGACCAAAAATTAGTTCTATATCGGTCACACCCATTCTTTATTAAATGTTTTCTGATTTCATAGTCAGTCATGGTCACATCCTGTATATTTTTCAGCTTAAAAAGTATCACACGAAGTGCACGTGTGTTGACCTGTCAATCAAAATCACTTGACGCTGTATGCAATGCAATTAAGTAGCCTGAGTTTGAAATGATCTTGAAGTACGATCTTTAAGTAAATCTGATGCAACAAACTTGTAAAAAAAAATAGAATAAAATAAAAAATAAAATATCTCGGTATTATGAACTTCGATTGTGGGACGTGGAGACCGGTCCTTTGGATGAGATCGTATAAATCGAGGTCCCTTGTCGTAGAAGGTGCTGGCATAAAAAAGATTCCCCACTGCTCAATTGCGATAAGTGCCAAAGTATAGGACAAAAATTTGCAGTCTCCACCGGCGAGTGGTGGCGTCTCCATGTGAGTGAAAAATTCTGGAGAGGGACGTTAAACAACATACGTATAATCAATCAATCAATCAATCGATTGCTGAAGAATTGCTGTAAATGAATAATCTGTCTTATAGGTATGCTGTCAAATCTTGATATTATAACTTTACAAAATTCAGTGACTTTACGTTTAGTGTGATACTAACTTAATTCATTATGTTTTTTTATAACACCATCACAATTATGTTAAAATATACACACAATGAAGTTTATGATAGTACGGTGTTCGTTCGTCTGTTTGTTTGTCTTAGAAATGATTGCATACAATTTTTTTTTTAAATTGCTAATGATATACGTTTATCTCTTATAGGTGCCAAATGTATTATACAAGATTGATAATGAAAATCAAAGTACCTTAAGTACTGAAAGGACTTTTTCCAGTTATTTTTTTCTTTCACAGTAAATATGATATGTATGTTTTTTACACAGAAAAAAAGCAAATTCTTACAGATTTAGAAGAACGGAAGACTTTTTTGTTGCCATGGCAACAAGAGTCTAGTTATAATTTTTTATGAATTATTTTTCCTTAGCTTGTATACAAATTTGTATTTCAATTGTGGAGATCTAGAGATTTGCTTAGTAATTTATATATTTTTCTTTGCTTAACTTTTAAGACAAGGCACCACACCTGGCGTACATTCCCCTCTCCTATTTCCAAAAATAAGGAGGGAGGAGAGAGAGAGATTAGGGGCAAAGTTTGGCAAGAAATTAGGTTCTGAAAACTACAACAATTGTGCACTGAATATATTTTCAAAGTTTTTTATACATACTTACATTGAAAGATCTAATATCATCCTCATGTTCTTCTCTAATTTTCCCTTACTTTTTTTTAAGCACCTTGTACATATTGTAGTATTTGAAATCGCACTGATAAATATAATTTTAGAAAATAATTTCATGAATTATTTTACATTTTTAACAATACTGTTCTCTATAATGATTTACATTCCTTAAATAATTAATGTAATGACTTAAATATAAATTGCACCCTTCCCCCAATTTATATATCCCTATCCATGGCTGTAGGAGCCGAGGGGCACGAGGAGCCATGCCCCCAATAAAATTGCCGATATATATAATACTATAGAAAACATAGCTACTATATGATTGTGCCCCCTCAAAAAAATGTCTGATGTCCCCCCTTTTTTGTCTTGTCAAAGAATTGAAAATGTATGGCTGCCCCCCCCCCCCCTAAACTGAAATTGCTTCCTACGTATACGGGCCTACTAAGTAAATTGAGCAGGTCACCCATATATTATTAGTCATGATATATCTTCAAACACTATCCATTTTTACCACTATCCACAAAATATGTGACGATGATTCACAAAGTTATTTCAGTACTAAGTTACAGGGAATTATTTTTTAAGAATACATAAGTTCATTCAACAATAATTTTTTGGGCATATTTAGTGCTTTTCAGGTAACAGATTTTTCTACCATTTAGTTTGACCTCTAATACACAATGTAAAGAGAAAAATAAATAAATAAACTTACGAGTTCCAACTGGTTCTATCACACCCAAAGTTTCATGGATCATCTTAACTTCACTCAGTATGAAAAAGCTTGTTCTAAATGATTTCCCTGGGTGGTCACTAAGAACTGTTGGGTACTGTTAAAGGAGATGGGTGATCATAGCGTGCAGAAAGCCTATAGCTTCAGATAAACAAAATACATGTTCAATTTTTGAATTTAGTATTTAAAGTAAAGTTCTCATTATTGAAATTAATGACACTATGATAAACAAACCTTTTCTGAGGTAAATTTTCTCGGTAAAATTTATTCTTTTATTAAAAATTACTGTGGTTTTCGAACCCAAGCAATAAAATCCCTAAGTATCATTTTCTTTCGAGACTAGCACGCTAACCACTAGACTACACATGTCCTGTTGAATAGTGGCATTTAATCAGTTTTGTGATATGACCCTTGACTTAATGGACTTCAAGTATTTCTCGAAAAGATGCGAATGTTATGTCATAAAAGTATATTTTTAAGGTATAGTGGGTCTTTGCTACATATTTTTGGTAACCAAAAAATGTATATTATTATGCAAACTTTGAGGATTAACTTTCAAAAAAATCGAGCGAAGACCCACTCATACCGAAAAATAGTGTTATAGTATGAGAAAATGACTCTTTTTGTCCTCTTTAGTATGTGTATAATATTCCATAAGCAAATAATATAAAATTGTAGAGATTTTACATAAAGTATATATTAATGTTAGAAGAAATATCAAGGAAATTTATGATATAATTAAAATTTAATTTTTCACCTTCATGTTTGTCACAATATAGGCTTGTGTATAATATTTCATAGACAAATAATCAATCTTTCAGAGATTTTTGCAAATTGTAGAGATTTAACATAAAGTATATTTTAATGTTAGATGATATATCAAGGAAAATTCTGATATAATTGAGATTCATTTTTTCATCTTCATGTTTGTCACACGCTCGACATGTTCTCCCATCTTCTTTACTTTTTGTTTGCGTAAATTTTCATTACATCTTATGGATTGACTGAAATGTGTTAACCAGATAGAAACATTGCTCATATCAAACTCTGTAGGATGCAATCCATTTTCAGTTAAATTTATCTCAACATCTGAATTTGCAAAGGTGTTCAGTAA